ACATGTCGCAAAAATCGAAAGAGACCTTACAGGTCAGGCCTCTGCCCAGAAAAGGCCGCTCTCCAAGTCGCTCTCCGAGACCGAAGAATCGCAAGAAAGCGCCAGCAGATGTATCAAGTTATGGATCGGAGGGTGTCAAGGATAACAATATATTCAAACTTCCCACTTCAGACTATAAGGCGCTCGTCTTGGTCACCCTTGTTGCTCTGGCTGTTCGTCTCTTCCGTATTTATCAACCTTCGAGCGTTGTCTTCGATGAAGTCCAGTGCGTCTCCATATTTCTTTTCGATTGCACATGTTATCGGTGCGCCATGACGCTAATTTTTGGTGAACAGTTTTGGCGGCTTTGCGAGCAAATATATCAAGGGCAAATTTTTCATGGATGTACACCCTCCTCTCGCCAAACTTCTCATCACACTTGCTGGCTGGCTGGCTGGGTTCGATGGTAATTTTGACTTCAAAGACATTGGCAAGGATTATCTTGAACCCGGAGTCCCATATGTTGCTATGCGCTTGCTCCCAGCCGTATTGGGTGTACTTACGGTTCCTTTGATGTTCCTGACCCTGAAAGCGAGCGGTTGCCAAACTGCCACTGCTGTCCTTGGAGCTGGAGTCGTAATTTTTGGTAAGATGATATCGCTGTATATATACTTGACCAGAATATGTACGCTGACCACCTGCAGAAAATGGTCTAATCACTCAATCCCGTCTAATTCTATTGGACTCGCCGTTGGTCTTCTTCACAGCGCTCACGGCGCTGGCGTTTACTAGTTTTACAAACCAGCAGGAGCTTGGCCCTTCTCATGCCTTCCGTGGACCCTGGTGGTTCTGGTTGGCAGCAACGGGTCTATGCCTGGGCGCCACATTGAGCGTTAAATGGGTCGGACTTTTCACAGTCGCGTGGGTTGGTTCTCTCACTATCCTGCAGCTGTGGGTGCTTTTGGGCGACTCTCAGAATGTCACACCGGTATGTCTTCGTCTTTAATTAGAGCTTCTTCATTCTATGTCAAAGCTAATTGCTCCAGCGCTTATGGCTCAAACACTTCTTTGCCCGGGTCTTCTGTCTCATCATCATTCCCCTTGGCTTTTACTGTGGAATGTTTGCAATTCATTTCCTATGCTTGGTCAACCCGGGAGATGGAGATGGGTTCATGTCGTCAGAATTCCAGGCCACATTAAACTCCAAGGGAATGCAAGACGTTCCTGCAGATGTTGTTTTCGGCTCGCGTGTGAGCATTCGTCACCTGAACACACAGGGTGGCTACCTCCACTCTCATGCCCATATGTACCCCACGGGAAGCAAACAGCAGCAGATCACTCTCTATCCTCACAAAGATGAGAACAATGTCTTCATCCTTGAGAATCAGACCCAGCCCCTTGGTCCCTATGGACAAGTGGAGGGCCCTTACGCTTGGGACAATATCACCGCCGAGTACATCGAAGATGGTGCGGTGTTAAAACTCTATCATGCGATAACACACAGAAGACTTCACTCGCACGATGAGCGACCCCCTGTGACCGATGTCGACTGGCAGTTTGAAGTATCTGCGTATGGGTATGAGGGGTTCCCAGGAGACGCAAATGATCTCTTCCGTGTTGAGATTGTTAAGTCGAAGTCCGACGGCGAGGAAGCGAAGAAAAGGTTAAGAACCATCGAAACTAAATTCCGACTTGTCCATGTCATGACTGGCTGCGTTTTGTTCTCTCACAAGGTGAAGCTTCCTGAGTGGGGGTTCGACCAGCAGGAAGTGACTTGCGCTAGAGGAGGCACTCTGCCGAACAGTCTTTGGTACATCGAGTCAAACAACCATCCGATGCTACCTGGGGATGCGGAAAAAGTCAATTACCGAAACCCGGGATTCTTTGGAAAGTTCTGGGAGCTCCAGAAAGTCATGTGGACTACGAATGCTGGCCTGACCGAGTCCCATGCCTGGGATTCTCGCCCACCATCGTGGCCAACACTGCTCAGGGGCATCAACTTCTGGGGTCGTGATCACCGTCAGATTTACCTCCTCGGCAACCCCTTCATCTGGTGGTCGTCGACGGCCGCCATTGCCATTTATATTGTCTTCAAGGGCATCGCCGTTATCCGATGGCAACGCAGTTGTGGTGATTATCGCAACGTTAACTTCAAGCGATTTGATTATGAAGTCGGTACGAGCGTGCTCGGCTGGGCTTTCCACTACTTCCCCTTCTATCTCATGGCTCGACAGCTCTTCCTCCACCATTACTTCCCCGCCCTTTACTTCGCCCTCATTGCGCTGTGCCAGGAGTTCGATTTTATCGCCAATCGCTTCAAGGCCTTCGGTTTGTCATCGAAGCCTATCATTGGCAAAGGAATGGTCGCAATCTTTCTGGCTCTCAGCATCTTCGCCTTCACTCTTTACTCCCCATTGGTTTATGGCAATCCTTGGACCCAAGATGCTTGCAAGAAGGTGAAACTTCTCAGCACTTGGGATTTTGATTGCAACACATTTTACACTGACGTAAGTGTTCCAGAATGGCAGCCTCCGCGACGAGGATACTAGATGAATGAACGCCCGACGGCTGACGACAAGGCATTAGCTTGGTCAATATGTTACTCAATTTGTCAATGCGAACCCTATTGTATCCTCAACGCCCTCCGCACAGGTAACCCCAGTTCCAGAATTGCCTGTCCAAGATTTGCCCGTCCAGGAACCGCCAGTGGCACCGCCCCAGCAGCATCAGCAGGAGGTTCACAAGGAGGCTCAAGAGGCAAGTGTGACTCCCGAGGCCAAACAGCCTCGCGGAACAATGGCGCGAGTGGAGTACCGTGATCAGCACGGCAACGTTCTTGATGAGGCGCTCGTCGCATCTCTTGCCAAGGAAGGCAAGGTTTCTTTTGAAACCCGGCACGAAACTCGGACTCGCCTGGAGCATGGCCATGAAGTAGAGATGGTAGACGGTCAGATTGCACCACCACACCCAGATGTGGAGGGACAAAATCCCGAGACTGTCAAGAACCAAGAACAGCGGGCTCCAGAAGACAGCCCAGCTTCGGTGGCTGTGGGTGAGAGCTCAGTCGAGGAACCCAGCTCCCCTGAGCCCAAACCGGCTAGCGAGGCAAATGAGGCAACTCAGAATTAGCGCAATTGAACGTCATCATGGAGCGTAATGAGTGGCTTTGAAGGGTTGCTTTGAATCTACTTTGGTCCTCTTTTCTGAACATTCGAGGCTTGGCAAAGTCGATTTCAATATGTCTTCTGTTGAACAATATTCTTCTTGACCGAATGAAATGTGCGATTCTACGTGATTTTCACAAATCCTTCATGCGAACCATACCCGCTGTAGGTTACTACCTAAGATTGCTGCAAAGATAGCATGAAAAAAGAACAAACAATCCACGAGTTGATTTCCATCACAACATACTATGCACAAAGCTCTGGCATGAATCTGCTCCCCAAACTCTAGTCTCCATAGTCGCTTTTAGTGTACAGCAATCAACATCGGAACACATCCGATGCTTGTCTTCAGCTTTCGATCCTCTGCTGTATGCCCGTCTAGTAGTCCCACTCCTCCTTACCGTACTTGTTGAAGCGCTCGTGGAGGTCCTATGACGGAAAAAAGTGGGATGTCAGCAATCTATGCGAATGTAATACCTGGCATGAGTTCCGCTATGAAGACGAAAGGGGAGGGGTCATTGTTACCTGGGGCAGAGTGACATTGGGGACAATGACAGTGTTCAGAGCGCTGGGAGCGTTTCTGAGAGGCTGGCTCTTGTCACCGTGAGGGTGGTACTGGTACTTGTAGACCTTGCCGTCGTCCTCGCGCTCCCAAGGCATGGCGCTCTCGCCAATGCGAACGTTGCTCTCGGAGGTGACCGAGGTGGGCTTTCTACCGAAGTACCTATTGACAATGATTGGTAAGCGGCGTCCGCATCAATCCAGCGTGCGATGGGCGACAATCGGGTTCTGCAGTCGCTTTTGTGTCGAATGTGGGCGATAGGGAGGATTATTCACCATCCAGCAATCAGGAAAGCTCCGGACATCACACCGAGCAGGACCTACAACAACCGTTAGAGACGAATCCAATCAATTCGAGCCGAGCTCAGCAGAGATCCATACGTAGAGCTCGGGGTCGCGCTTGGGAGCCTTGTCGAGGTTGGCCTCCTCAAGCTTGGAGCTGTAGTTTCGTCGCGGGGCAGCGCGGAAAAGGGACTGCCGGGCGAAAGCCCGGCGGGAAGCCATGGCAGCAATTGAAGACATGGTGATGTTTTGTAGGTCTGAAGACTGGTTGTCTGCGAGGACTGAGGGGTCTTTGAGAGAAAGTGGGAAGATCGAAGTGTCAAACGATGATGTTGCCGGCGCATCATCAGGTGACATCCCGTTGGCCCATCCGCTCCCGACGCTTAGTCATGCATATTGCTGGGCTGTGACTCGCCGCCTGCGAAGTCAAAATGTCCCCGTCGTATCGTTCAATGAGTCGCCTCGCGCAAGGGTGCCAACGCCTCGTCAAGTCGGAAAGGGTTCCAGGGTGCTTGCTAACTCCCTCGCCTTTGGACTGTTTCTTCTTCCAGCCGTGATGTGACAAAGATCTGTCTCCTTTTTCTTGCATCCGCTTACTATTTCGCAACTATACTCAAGGTCTGTGAGGACCAACCGAATGATTTCATCTCCGATAGGGGGACCATGACATATGCTCTGCTCTGCTCTGCTCCCAGGGGCTTGCAGTGTTGAGACTTCACAAAGCACACATGAAGCTAACTACACCGCTATATTATAGGTTGCTTACATTCCTTTACGATCCAGTATCCCTGTTGCGAAAGATAACGCAGAAATAATCTCCTTGTCGCTCCTTACCCTCCTCTAAACTCCGATTAGCGTCCTCTGTCATTTATTCTTGCGGCTGGGCTACCATAGACTCTTTTTTTCATCCACAGCAGTCCCGAGAACTTTTTTTTCGCATCCTTCGCTACAAGCTGCACCATGATCAATCGTCATTCCTATTAGGCAGAGATTCTTATCAACTCGAGGACAGCCATGTCGCCTGCGTCGGAGACGAGCGATGCGGCTCAAGGATCGACCGCACAACATGTCCTCGGTATTCCACGCCCCCCTTCCGTTGGGGGCATCTCGTCTCGAATAACAGACATGGCATCAGAAGATGGAGAGCAATCCCAAGCAAATACCGGAATTTCGTCGCGTCCGCCTCAGTCGCAGCAACCTGTTACTAGACGAGGGCCCCCACCCGCGAGAAGTTCAATCACCGCACACAGCCAGGTGATAAGTAGACCAGGAAGCTCTGCTAGCAGATTGAGTCGCAGTCATATTCCTTCACTCACTGCGCAAGGCTTTTTTCGACCAATGTCCTCTCAGAGGCTTCAAGCGCATCGAGGTCGGCCGGTCACCAAAGAAACGGCAACGTCGTCCGAGGATTGGAATGACCAGATCGACCAAAATAGGCGAAGCCTGGTCTCGAATAGCACTTTTCCTCAGAGTTCCATTCCACAGGAGGAGGCTCCTCCATCGCGAGGTACCGAGTTCACGGATCCCATAATTCCAGATCGAAACACATCGAACGCCAGTCCCATCGGCAATACGACGGCGAGAAGCTTGGGCGAGAGTGCAAAACTCTTGAACGATCGGGACAGAGTGTATAAAATTGCGCCGCAACACCTCAACCTGGGAGTGAATCATAGCATCGAAAACAACGATCCTCCCCAACGATCCCCCCTCTCGTTTCTGTCTCTACAAAACAGAAATCCTGCACCAGATCGCCGCGATAGTCGGGCTCATGAGCGACTGTCATCTGCAGACTCATCTCCTGGATCCATCCAGAAGCAACATCACACAACAAGTAGAGCTAACCCGGGCAAGAATTATGAGTACTTCACCGGTAACACCCTGTTCTTCGGTGGCGGTCGGTTCCAGAATTCTAGAGACAAGCCCATCAACATTGCAACTGGCATCTTTGTGGTTCTGCCTTCCGCTTTGTTTTTCGCGTATTCGGCTCCTTGGCTCTGGCATCATATCTCACCTGCGATCCCGATATTGTTTGCCTATCTTTTTTACCTATGCTTTTCCTCATTCACACACGCCTCAGTCGTCGATCCTGGGATCATTCCTCGAAATCTTCATCCAATGCCACCGCCAGAGCCCTCAGGCGACCCATTGATGATCGGACCGCCGACCAATGACTGGGTGATGGTGAAGCTGGCAACATCTGATGTTGCGGCAATGGACGTTCCGGTGAAATACTGCAAGACTTGCAACATCTGGCGACCACCGCGCTGTTACCATTGCCGCGTATGTGACAATTGCGTTGAAACTCTAGATCATCACTGCGTTTGGCTGAACAACTGCGTTGGTCGCCGTAACTATCGGTACTTCTTTGCTTTCGTTAGTTCTGCGACACTCCTTGCCCTATTCTTGCTTGGAGCCAGCCTTGCACACATTCTGGTGTATCGTGCTCGCGAAGGCGTTTCTTTCGGTTCCGCAATTGACAAGTGGAGAGTCCCTTGGGCCATGGTTATATATGGAGCACTGGCAGCGCCTTACCCGGCCTCTTTATGGGCATATCACCTCTTTTTGGTAGGGCGAGGCGAGACGACGAGGGAATACCTGAACTCGCACAAGTTCGCCAAAGCAGACCGACATCGTCCTTTTACTCAAGGGAACGTTTTCCGAAATTGGATTGCTGTGCTAGCGCGGCCCCGCCCTCCGACATATTTGCAGTTCAAAAGGCCTTATCAAGAGGGTGATCAGCGCTTGAGCGCTTTGAAACGAAAAGACCGGCCTCGAGATGTTGAAGCTCAGGCGGATATCGAGATGCAGCATGTTCCTCCAACTGCACAGCAGGGCTAACACAGCCCCGCGGTGTGGGTTATGTTCAATTCACCATCTATTAGATCTTTCTCTGAAGCAAATCGCGTCTCTGTGATTACATTCCTTCCACATTTTCTTTTTCTTGCCTTTTTATTTCATCTTATTCAAAACCAATGATGCTGCTTTGATTGACTGGACTTGTGTTGTTCTGACTGTTGTACATCAACCCTTTCACGATCTTGATATCTCCGTGCATTCCCTTCTGATTTCCTAAGATTCCCCCATCCAAAATGAGGCCTTGCAATTGAGCGATCTCGATTCACTTTCTCTTCATGACTGTTATCTCTTTCTTCATTTCAACCCACAATCTCCCTTTGAGTGTGGAACCCTCTGTCCTGGTTCAATTTGTTGGGTTGGGTTTATATCACGCGACATCAAGGATATATGTATGATAATTGATACTGACCTTCCAGATAGACAATGAATAATTCACTCAAAAGAGAGAGAAACGAGGAGAGCTCGGTCTGTATCCCTCCGCCGGCAACTGTAGCTTGTAGGCGCCTGCAGAGGCTGTTATCGAACGCAGAAGGGACCACATATTGGAACTCCAGAAGCTTAAGAAGAGTTCGTCCAAGCTCAATTTGCCCAAAATCAGATGGCAGTACTGAGCGCAGAAGGTCGTGACTGGAAGACTTGGTGTTTGTCCGTAGTCTCGCTACTGTTTTCCCTCTGCATTCCGCGGCCGTGCCTCCCCTCCGGCCGTCCCAAACTGGCTGACGACAGGAACTGGACCTCCTCCGCACCTTCATCTTTCTTCTTCCCTTCCAATGCCTCGCCGTCCACCTTGCTGAAACCATCCTCTCACTCATTTGTGCTTCATACCTTCCGTCATGTTTGTCAGAGTCTTGCTGTGACCTGGTTTTTGAGCTGTAAAGCGTTGTGCAGATACTCCTGATAACAGGAGCGCCTATTGCCTTGTCCGCTGTTCAGCTGCAGGCAAACAACACAACCTTCCCAAGTCTGGACTGAATCAGACAAAAGGTGTTTTTTTATTTCTAGCCTTACTGTGCCACTTTCAACTGTTCCAGCAGCAGAACCACATACACTCCGTTCTCAACGAATTTGAGATGGGAAAGCGAACTAGATCCTCCGTCGCGTCACCCGCGACACCCGCGACCCTCTCGGACCTCCAGAAGCATGCTCACGAGCACGTCGACGACACGCTGGGTCTAGAAATGCCGGAACAACTTCTTACGCCTGAGAACAGCCGCTCTGAAACCTCCAGTAACAGCGAGAACGCGTTCCATGAAGAAAAGCCTACGCTGCGAGGGACGTCTACACGTGTGACACGCGCTTCTCTACGGGCTTCGGATCTATCTGAGACCAAACCAGAGCCGGAAGATGCAAGCGCCGCGTCCTCGTCTGGTGAAATGGACCATACGAATTCTAGTGGGAATCTAGCCAACAATGTCACGAATCTCAAGCGGTCCCAGTCCTCCCACCTCCGGCACAGCATAGCGGTCATGGAAACGTCCGTTTGGAGCGAGTCAACGCTTATACGAAATAACGTGGAGGTCGGGGACCATCTAATCACCCCAGATACGCCTGTTTCCAACTCTTCCCAAGAGCCACTGCCAGATGACCTTAGCTCATCAGTACCGCAGCAACCACTGAGGAAGCGCGTGGAACGGGCATTGACTAAGGAGGATAGTCCCAACCGGAAGAAGGATGAATTGACGGCCCGGATTGAGGATTTCAACCCCAGGCGCTCAACCCGTCTGAGTTTATTGGAAAAGGCGTCAGATTTTGTCGAAAAGGCGAAAAGCGTCCTGGGCAAAAGGTCAAAGGATATGATGGAGAAAGGGCAGGATCTTGACCGCAGAGCCAGCCTGCGACCTCGTAATGTCGTTGCGCCCAGGGAAGAACCTGCCTCTCTCATGTCAAGCGAGCCTCCGGCTGCGAAGAAACGACGTGTTTCTGAAAGCGACCTGCCGTCCAAGATCAAAGCCATTGATGAGTTCACTGCGCAAAGCGACCCTGCCGTCACAAAGACAGAGCCCAGGTTCAAGCCGAAGCGGTGGTTGTCTCATGGACTGTACACTGGACAAGAGTATACCACCGCTCGGCCCAGTCAAAATAGAAATAAGAACGCGAAGAGGCGATCGCAAGGCGCTCCCTCGCAGCGAAGACTTCTCCCAATGCCAATGTTTGCAGGCGAGCGACTGCTGCAGTTGGGAAGGGATTTCCAGCTGCCGTTCGATATTTACTCGCCCCTTCCGCCCGGTCAACACAAACCTGACGAATGGAGGAAAACCAACAAAAGTATGTTGACTATTGGATGCTCACTTCTTGAAAGAGAGAGCCGTACTAACATTCAAGCTAGATGTTTTCGTTGGAGAGGCGGGCAGTATATGGAGAGCCAACAAGCACATGGAACTGTCAAAATGCATGTGCACAGAAGAGACAGGATGCGACGAAAACTGTCAAAATCGGTACATGTTCTACGAATGTGACGATGGAAACTGTGGACTGGGGCCTGACTGTGGCAACCGAAGCTTTGAGGAGCTTAAGCAAAGGACAAAGGCCGGGGGGAAATACAACATCGGCGTGGAAGTCATCAAGACAGCTGATCGCGGATACGGCGTTCGCAGCAACCGTACATTCGAGCCAAACCAGATTATCGTCGAATATACTGGTGAAATTATCACTCAAGCCGAGTGCGAGAAAAGGATGAGAACGATATACAAGAACAATGAGGTATGTCCCCTGTGTAATGCTGCCGCCCGATCGAATGATTGATCTGAAGTGCTAGTGCTATTATCTCATGTACTTTGATCAAAACATGATAATCGACGCTACTCGAGGCTCAATCGCTCGCTTCGTGAACCATTCTTGCGAACCGAACTGCCGAATGGAAAAGTGGACTGTTGCAGGCAAGCCACGCATGGCCCTGTTTGCGGGTGACCACGGTATCATGACCGGTGAAGAATTAACTTATGACTACAATTTTGAGTGAGATTCTCCACTACTCGCGATGTCACTTGGGTCTTTCTGACTGTTCCTCAGCCCATATTCTCAGAAGAATGTCCAGCAATGCCGATGCGGTTCTTCCAACTGCCGTGGAATACTAGGACCGCGACCCAGAGAAAAGGATCAGCGGTCCAAAGAGTCAAAAAATATTAGCCAGAAGAAGACCTCATCTTCGAGGACGACTACCACTAAGAAGGCTATCGGTACGAAACGCAAAAGCGGGACAGTGCTTGACGATTCGTCGTCACAGCCTAGCAAAAAGCGAAAGGTTCTGGCTCCGAAATCCATCGCGAAACAGGTCAAAAAGGTAGTGTCGAAAGCGCGTGCGACGATTTCCAAGTCCGCGAACTCGGGGAAGAAGGGTACGGTGAAAGTGCAGACCAAGATCTCCAAGGCGACGATCAAGAAGGTCGAGGGCTCGAGATCCAAGAGCCAGGCGAAGGCTAAGGAAACCAAGCCCAAAAGTAGCGTCAGACTGCCCAAGGTCAAATCCACCAAAACGAAGGTGAAGGCGGCAATTATTCCCAAGGCAAAGTCACCCAAAACAACAGGGCAGTCACCATCGAAACAGAAAGTTTCTCCTCCGTCTTCCTCGACATTGAGCCGTCCTTCTGCAAAAGCTAAGGAGAAGATACTAAAGGCAGCCAAAGGTGCGAGTGCTCGGAAACAGGCTCCGAAGAGGGAAACAGCTGGTGCGAAATCACCTCGCAAGACCCCCACAAGCAACAGCATCAAAAAGCTCCCTGGGGCTACGGCCTCGACTAAACGTACAAAGGACGCAAACACTGAGATGGTCCATTCCACTTGAATAATAAACAACAGACAGCGGAACTTGGGCGCTAGCAGTCAGACATTGCAACAATCCTTCAGTTCGGCTGATTATTCGATCATGATTGTCCATTAACTTCTCTCGGAGCTGTCATGCTTTCGCTTCCTCACACCCTTTGAGTCGGTTTTCTGAGTCACATAAACTTACTTCATTTTGAACCTGCTTGCGCTGCAGGCAATATTTTCTTCAGCCTGTGGATCCGTCGTGATTTTGGTATTTCCTTTGCTGTCACATTGAGGTTTCTCTGGTTCTCTCTCCGCGTTGGCTGTTATTCCTCTAGTAAATGCTCCACTGGTTTGATCTATATGATGGCGTCAGGTGTATCCCATACTGTCTCGCTGGTCGTTCTTACTCGGGTGCAGACTTGGTGTTTGGATTCAAATGGTTTCAAGGAATGGAAGAATACTTAAGTTTTTGGATTCTATAGCTAATAAATATATTGATATAAACTCAAGGTTGCATGAGGCTGTGTATAGGGATAACAGCACATACAATAGACGCGGCTCAGTCTCACCCAAAGAGTCAGAGTATGCTGCCGCTGTCCGACTTAGATATAACACTTGGCCTTCAATCTTAAAGGCTTCTGAAATTTGTCTTTGCAGCAACCTGCACTACATATACCTCGGAAGTGCTGTGGGGTGAATATTGTTGACATAAACGGGAATGTATACAGCAGCCGGGCGGCAATCAATATCAACGTTATATATAACAACGTGTGAAGTCGTGAAAACACAGTGATACTTCCTAATGTATGGCACTTACACCGAGAAATCCCACACAGATGCATATTCCATACAGAACAAACTGTCTCCAACATGGGATATTTACTATTAAAAATGGAATCACTTCGCCCACGTCAAGAAGGTCTGTAGAGAGAACCGAGAGCGCAACGCCTGACACCTAGCCCACACCTCAAATACACCCATGCAGAGATTGAAAACAGAGTCTGACCGCCCTTTCTCACCGGAGATTCTACGCTGCGCTAACGTCAGAGGTCGACGGTGCAGGTGCCCCATCTCCACCCTCCTTGCTTTCAGGTTCTACCTTTTCCTGCTCGGCGATAGGCTGGGGAGCAGCGTTGTTGTCGGACGGAGCAGCGTCGCTCGGTTGCGTAGTTTGTGGCTCTGTAACCTCTGGTGCACTTGGTGCAGCAGGCGAAGAAGGAACTTTGGGGGATTGAGATTCATCGGGCGGAGCGGGTTGTGATTCTTGAGCGTCTGTTATGGGTGCCTGATTCTGGGATTGCTCTTGGACTGTTTCCTCGATTCGCTCAAATGCTGGACTTGGAGGTGTGAGAGGCTCTGTTGGTGGTGCCGTGGGTTCCGGCGAGGGGTCTGCGGGTTGCGGAGGTGCCTGCTCTGTGGGTGAAGGGGCAAGCGGCTCAGTTGGATGAGCCGATTGCTCCGACGAACTTTGCGCCGGTTGTTCTGCATGTGGCTCAGGCGATGGAACGGGAAGTTGTTGGTCTGTCGGCGGCGCAGCTGGTTGGTCTGAAGAGGCTTCAGCAGAAGGTTCTGTAGAAGGCACCATGCTAGAATCTGCTGGAGGCTCCATCACTTGTGGTGCGGCGGATTCCGTAGCCTGGATCTCTGCGGGTTGAGCAACGGGATCTGGATTCACGGCTGACGGTGCTTCGGGAACTTGTTCGGGAGGCTGTGCCACTGGAGCTTCTTGATTATGCTCTTCTATGGCATCATTCGCCGCAGTTTCTGCGGTAGGCTCTGTCGTCTCCTGCTCAGGCTGCTCTGGCATAGACATCGTGCTGGGTTCTAGGGATGGTCTAGTGGGCTGTTCGATTGCCCTCTGCTCGGCATCAGGTTCGATAATTTGCTCTGGGACCTGTTTTCCAAGTTGCTCTTCAACGTGTTCCGACGGCTGTTGGGAAGGCTCATCTGTCACCGTTTCTCCACCTTCCATTGCGGGATTTGTCGCAGTGCTCTCAGCAGCCATAGCTCCCGCTTGCGGATCAGTTTGCAATGCGGCTGGTCCGTCAGTCTGCGCATCGCTGACCGTACCACCTAGACTAGCTTCCAAACTACCAAGAAGATCAACCTCGTTACTCTCTGCCTCAGTATCGGCCGGTTGAGGTTCAACTGTGGAATTGGGAACTTGCTCAGGAACAGTTTCTTCCAGCGACATCGGCTCGGTCGTAGGAGCTGATGGGACGGCTTCCGGGTCCTCCATTATTACATCGCCCGTCTCGGCCACCTCCTGTGTCATTGCTTCGTTTGGAGTACCCTGACTTGGTTCCGCCGACTTCTCTGTGATCTCTGCTTGAACTTCTGTTCGATGCGCACTCTCAACAGGTGGAGACGGCCCCGACTCCGTATTTTGAGGCACTGCTTGAGGCGATTCGGACACAGTACTTCCGTGAGCGGCCTCAGCAACATCTTGTACCTCTGGAGACAGACGTCCTGGATGTCGCTGAGGTACAGTTGCCAGACTATCATCTGGGGGAGAGACTGCAGGTTGCGCATCGGGCATAACAACATCCTCGGTCACGACTTCCTGTGTCGGCTCTTTGGACACAGGCGTAGCTTCAGGCTGGATGAGAGGGGCAGGAGCAGACACATCGGCGGACGGTAACGCTGGGACTTGAGTACTAGGGAGTGTGGCGGGCGGCGCCGATGGCTGCACATGCGTATGTGTAGAGGGTTCCTTGGCCAAGGTTGATGGGCCTTCTGGAGCGACTGATTGGGATTCAGCACTTTCCTCCTTAATAGCTGTTGAAGATTCTTGAACAGGTTCGGCGACAGATATAGACGCCGCATCACCCGCTGATACGGACTCAGGCTGTGCAAGTGGGGTTTCTGGCGTCTTGGCGTCCAACATCGACTCGTCGCCCTCGTCACTCTCTTCGCCCTCGTCCCCCTCCTCCTCTTCTTCATCCTGGCCGCTTTGATCCACTGACAAGCGGGACGCGTCCGGGTCCGCTTTAGCAAACCCGGTATCTGTCGCGCCGGCTGCCGTACTGGTGCCAGCACCATGGACAAGCGCAGCATCAGCCCCATCTCCTGGTGCGAACATGACCTTCTTCCTGCGTCCCTTTCCAAAACCCTTGGCCTTGCGCTTGGGAGGAGGTGGGCGTCTTTTCGGGGGCGTCATGACAGAGACGGAGCCTGCTTCTGCAACAACCACACCCTCAGCATTGACCACACCAACGCCTTCGACAATCGTCCCAGGTGCAGGTGCCTCAGGGATAACAGCGACTTCCTTGTTTTCGGCTCTCACTTGAGCTTCATCGGTGATTTCGCCTTCAATCTTATGTCCTTCCGGCACCCACGCCTCGTAGATGGAAATATTACCAGTAACCGGGTCGACCTTCTTGAAACGAGTCCTCCTCATCGGAACATTGTTCGCGGCACCGTCCACACCCGTAGTTGAAGCGCCGTACAGTGATGGTAAACCCGGTCGTCTCTTGGCCAGAAATTCCACCTCCGGCGGCTCCAGATGTCTTGGCAGGGCTGCCCACTTGCGCGCAGTAAAACTACGGTCCGTGCTCTGTATCATCGGTTGCTCCTCGACGTCGGTAGCTTCTTTCTCTTCATCTTCTGGCTCCTTTTGCGCTTTGCGAATGTAGATACAACCGGCTCTAGCGGCGCGAAGAAGCGCTCTGCTCATAGGCGTCAGGAGATGACTGTCCCTAGGCATGGGGTGCTCGGGAAGGGCCTGTTTGCCTCCGGGGCCTTGAAAAAGCGACTCCGATATTTCGGTCTTGGGAACTTGGGAGATTGTTTGGCGCTGGCGCGTCCATCTCCGCACCGGGAGTCCTTCAAAAACATCGTGATCGATTTGGCCGGTTCGGGTTCGATTAGCGTTGTCGCCGAATTGACGACCTGAGCGCGATGATCTGAACTGATATTTGTCAGCATTTAGATAAACGATACATTTATCGTCAGTGCCTGGGAGTGAGATCTCTCGTTGCGGGCGACGTTGCGCTAGGAGACACCTACAGTCGGTGGCATGGTGAGTGGCTGGCCGGCAGTCTTTCCTCCGCCACGTAGATGATAAGGCGAGTGTTTGCTTCGCAGATTCCAGCACTTCTAACAGTATCAACTGGTAAGCCAATGCAAAATCGATCGATCAATGGTGCAGTCCGCCGTCAAGCCAGACCGGGGATGCGACTGGCAGTGTTCAGGCGCGAAGTGATGGCGCGGAAACGGGGTCACTGAGTGCCAAGTCACGTGATGTCTCTCGTTGGAAGTCAACGACTTTTACAAAGACTACCTATATAGCAATAAACCTCGACGGCAAATGATATCTTGAGCTTCTCAAGTAATTGATTATAGACAGTTATAGATAACGTAAGAGAAGTGTGTGTCCTTGTGAGAGATATGAGTAGCCAGTGCAGCATACAGCGCAGTCGGATTCGTTAAAAGTACAGTCACCCCGGTTTATCCAATACTTGACGGCTGGGCAGGCCAAACTGATGTCGAGCTTGGTTTCTGTTCAGAATCAAGTCTGGAACTCAAGCATGTCCTTGTTTATACGGTCCAATCGGTTAATCCCATCTGCAATCGCTGTAAGCTTTTGGCGAAGGAAGCAAAATCAGGAAGCGTCATACCCAGTATCCTTCTGGCGGACGATACCGCCCTCCTGTCCAGTCTGCTCGCCCTGCATGAATAGTTAGGCGGATCTTCATACGAGCGAGGCGCATTCAAGCGAGTACTCACAGTCTTCTGTCCTTCCACTACTAATTTGTCCAACTGATAGAACTGACTAATCACAGTTTGCCGCTGGATCAGAAGTCAGTAATCCGTGCTTCCATAGAAGTGGATGTCTTAGACGTGGGAAAAGCGTCATCCAGACCCCGGCGTATACAAGTCAAGACTGACCTTCAACATGCGCAAATTTTGCAGACCATCCTGAATCAACTCCTGTATCCTCCTTTCCTCGGTTTCATGCTGGTGCTCACGGAAGGCGTCCCTCGTTCTCCGACGGGCATACTCACGGAAGTTGTAGCTCGAGAATTGAGAAGATTGACGGAGCAAAGACCGAAACTGCACGATTGGACCACACCGTTAGTCTTCTGATCCACGTAGCTTGATCGCCCGGGGCGGATGAGACCCTGGACAAGAAAAGGCATACCAATGACCGGACCTGGAACGCAGTGTCCCGCTGCAAGGTTGCCACAGACATGATGGCAGATTCGATAAGATGGGAGTGGAGATGTGAAGTAAAGTGCTTAGAATAGACTGGCAAGCGACCAAAGCGAAGCGTGTCCGACAATAATCACTATTCTGATGGTGCTGTATCCAAATGAGACTTGTGCCTTATTCTTCGACTCTTGGCCCCTCACGGCTCCAACTCAAAACAATGGACGAAGCGTTACAGCGACGACAGATGATCAGACTGCCGTTTTCAGAGAGCCCTAGTCAGAAGATAGTATGGTTTTCACAAGATCACCAGTAAAGTATCTTGCATCACAACTTCAACTGCAGGTGGCGGTTCACAATGAGGCCGGAGAGTCGGACAAGCTAGAGGGACGTCCGAGCTCGAATCACGGAATAGTAGAATATCAAGATAATACAAAAGACTCACAGTCTCTCCTCGATCGCGAGAAGAAGGGAAGAAGAAAAAAAGTATCCGACTATCCACCTTAATCGCGCAGGGCGGGAAATTCTTTTGCTTTTCCCCGGAAGCGCGATGACGGAGTTATCGGACTCGGCGGCCGACCTTCTGCCGCTTTGCGTGCTTCTCCAGACAGACCTTCTCAATTCCCCGACCTGCCCCATAGATATCTGCCGGGCGTTGAGCAGCTGTTGCATTTGTCATATCTTCTGGATCACAACCTCGTCTCGTCTAGCAGTATTCAACTTTCCTAGGCTGCAATAACGTTGTGACTTGTCAATGGCCGAACTCCCTACTCCTCCAGCATCCCGCCAGAGCTCTGAATCACCACCGGAGCTTCAGCTCAAACAGTCTCACGAGGCCGAGTCCTCTGCCAAAGCCTCACAATTGCTGGACCACTCTCTGGAAAGATATCTTCTACTACTGGATCGGCATCAGAAACTGCAGACAGATCTCGCCAAACAACTATCTTCGGTATATCTCGCTCTTCGTCCTGTGCAATCGTTTCCACCCGTGTAGAGAAGCTGACGATAAGAAAAGGGATTCTTCTCCCTTGCGCATGCCAATTACACTTGTCCACCCGGTCGACGATATGGCGCTGACTACTATGACGAGCGTATGAAGGCGATCAGGAAAATGTAAGCTGAGAACGGTCTTTGGGAGCCGTCTCGAGTCCAGAACCTCGCAAATCCATGGTTATGAGGACTAATCGAGCGTGTGATCATCAGGACAATACAATTTCCTCCATGCACCGAAAAGAAAAAGACCGTGAATGGAGCTGAGGATGTCCCCCAGGGAGAGTGTCAACTGGACAACTACAGGCAGATCTTCTCGATTGATGAGACTACGAACAACCAGCGAGTCGAGGTGCCAGAAACGAGTAAAGGCGAGGAAGCGGCCGAGTCGGAAGTCGATAATACGCGACAAGTTGATCCGAGTGCAACTTCAGACTCCGACTCTTCCAAAGAGCGTTCTCGCTTTTCTGACCCTATCCATTGGTACGGGATCTTGGTTTCCCCTTCTCTTCGCAGCGCTCAAACGTCTTTCACGGAAGCTGTAGAGCAATGTTTGCCCAAGCTGGCCAGTGTGGTTGTGGAAATGCGGGCTGTGGAGAGAGAGGTCGACCGACTGCGAAGTCAACTACGATGAGCTTACCCTACCGGAAGCTGAGTCCACGATACAAGGCATGAGTTCGACGTTGTGATTCGTCATTAATGACATGCAGCACGGAGTACGCTCCATCAAACAATGGTAGGTAGATTATGGACCATCACTCAGACTCGAGTGTTGCCATTACTTTCGCACTGTTATGAATAACGCTGGCTCACAGTTACGGCACATAAGCTATGATGCTGTTGGACTGCGAAAGGATGGCATCCCGCCAAGTAGGCGGTTCTTTGGCAGGAAGAGAGATAGTGGGTATTTGAAACCGCCGAACAGGTTCATCCATTGACTCCGTACATCCTTCGTTATGTACACATCAACAAAGCCAGAAGAGTTTCAGGGGCCACTTCCTCAGAGCATGCAGAACCCAGAATAAGCTGCAACTTGAGGTTCTTTATACCCTGATTGTATTATTGTACGATGTGAATCCACATGAACTTAGTAGCTAGAATGCAGATTAATATCAAAGACCCCTGGCAGTTGAGGACCAGATGCAGCAGCTGTTGGTATTATCACATGACGGGGTTCGAGCTGTTTGCTTCTCATCAACCTGCAGCTGCCAACATATCTTGGTCACTGTCTTACTTGGCTTCCTGCTCTGCACGTCCGTTCGGACGGAGTATCTAGTGTCTCTATTATTATCACTTCGGTTGATTAATGTTTTACTATTATCTTTGCTCGTCAATAACGTTCAATTTATCCGGAGGTTAGTTAAGAACCGATGGCGTTACTCTCGGGCTTGTGTCCCTGAAATAGCCCAGTGCAAGCAATAGTCTCGAACTGTTCAGGCGGTGGAATTTCCCCTTCCTCGGTGGGTTCATCCTTTCATTTCTTCACGTCGTATTTGACTCCAGCAGATCTTTCTGGTCAACAATGATGCACAGTTAGATCCCACTAACCTTTGCTAAGGACATCACTGACGTTGAGCTGCCTAGTCTAGCCGATAGATAATCCCTACAGTCGTCACCAAGAGTCTCAGGACCCAGCCGAGGAAGTTGGAACTGACTGGATGATGAATCATGCACACGGGAAGCATGGTTTCATGTTGAAAGGTGCCGCTCGCTAGAGTGCACCCCAATTGCTTAGGATGAGACGTAGCGTCGACTAGAGAGCTACACGTCCATTTAGTGCCTCCACTGAGCCAATGACCCTCGAGACCCACGCCAAACTGATTCGATCCGAGCTTGATAATGCCCCGACCATAATATCAGATTCTCGAGGTTCTGGCCAATCTCGCGTCGTCGTCTATTATGTACCTCTGCTTGTGTTTCAAGACGAGACTGTACCCAGCACATTCCACGAAACAAACAGGAGAACCAGAATACAACAAACCACTGGATCATTTGCGTCGGCGTTATCGCAGAGTCTCATCGCTCTTGTTCGCAATGTGGACGAGAAATGTCATAGCTGCTTCTTCTTCAAGAGCCACCACTAAGCACACAGATGATAGGAGGCTGGTCTTGATTGAATGGCACAACTCTTGCACCTGCTAATGCAACTCAAAACCAATAAAGAGAATGCTAAGGACTGGTGATATTATTATTGCACTAGCTACTATCAAAACACTCCTAGTGTCAGCCTCCACCCTGCTCGCCTTTGGATCAACTCCGCTGAGTGAGGATTGGACCAGCCCCAAACGGTCCGCGCCCCTTCCGCGTCCTTTTGTTCTTTTGGTCTGGGAAATATGAATCATGTGGACGCCGGACGGAGATGATACTCAACGAAGTCTAATATCAAAGTCTGGTTTTAGGCGAAGAACAATTTCGGGTCGCTGGAAGACCCTTTCTTCTTTACCCACCCGGGCACAGTAATCGAGTCTGGGTGACCGTCTATACTGAAAGTTGCGGTGGTCTTGTCCTCTTGAGTCTCTGCCATTCATTCTTCTACTCCAGGGCTTGACGCTCTGTTTTTTTTCTGGTTGTGTTGTTCTCATGATGTACTTGTAAGTCCGCGATATGAATTTTCCTTTAAGGCGAGGATGTCACTAACAACTTATGATGTTTCAGGGGCTTGGATCAATGGACAGCTAAATATTCTGTTGAGGTAGTCAGTTGTGATACTGTGTAATTGCGCAATACCTCACAGTCAATCTTCCTTCTTTTCTTTGAACTTATTGATTGAATTCTGGTACGCCTCCCTTGATGTGATGACATTCATGATGGAAACTCTTCTGTGGCATGTGCTCATTTCGACACCTTGTCCAGCAAAGGCATTGACTGCCACTTCAGCCTTCCTTCCCTCTTTTACCTTTGAGCTCAAGCTTGTATTCCTCATATTCATCTACTGCGGCTCTTCTAACAGCTGCAGCTACTGAGTATCGAATCACGTGGCTTGTATATCTTCAGCTCACGGCTACCCTCCTTTCGTTTACTCTGACTTCGTCCTCGTGATAAGAGTCGAGCTGGTCATTCATTCCTGGTACGCACTCTATTCGCCGACTTGAAGACGGCCGATCATTTCATATCGACCATCTTACGCTGTGTCATAGCCCCCTATGCTGGCAAAGATAGGCTTGACATAGATAATTTGCACTCCTTACACTACTTGCAATTTCCGGAAAATAATTAACAACACCTCAAGCAATGGAACCAACTTCTCTCAAGAGCTCAGACCATAATTCTCAATTGACAGGCCCGAAAGTCGACAGAAAAGGTTCCGTCAAACGGGCGAGACAAATGTTAGAGGCTGGCAGACGTCCGGATATCGCGATGGCGCCTTCGCAAAGTACTCATCCTGGTCCCACCCCCAAGCTCAAGGCAGACCAGTCCCATATGACGCAGTGGCCTTTACCGACTGACGGTAGTCTGCAAACGAACGTGTCCGGTCCTCAAGCAAGGCTGTTCATCCCAAAAGGGCCCCCTCCAGAGCGACCACCGCGGCCTGATGCTCCGTCTCCGTCGGTATATTCTGAAAGAAGCATGTCGGACATAGCACCCAGTCCCCTTCATTTGGGCCGGCCTATCCCATCATTTTCGCACCCTTTGCCACATCCACCACCGCCCCGTCCGCCATTTAAGGGGCATCTTCCACCTTACGGACCTGAGCGTGCTGCTCATCCAGCTCCGCGAGTTCCTATGACGACTGATGAATCGCTTAGGCAATCCACAGCCTCGTCTTTCGTGTCCATTCCCTCTATTCCCGACTTTGCTCTTCCCGCCCAACCTACACCTGCAGAAATGAACTTGGCCCAAAGACAGCCCCAGGGAAGACTTGCCCCATCAAATGCTGCCAGATTTTCCACGAAGCGCAGGTCCTCTGTCTCTCCGATACCTGAAGAACTCTCCGACAGCCCAACCATCTTGCAGGGGTCATATGCATCCAGCCGGGTCATTCCATCAAGCTGGGGCTCTGCACCAGCCGGGTCGGAAATTCTTGGAGCCTACCTAGACGTCGGGTCGGATGATGATCGTGATCCAACGCCTAGTGTTCACGAGGGGGATTCGACGCTTGTCCGACAAGCCAGTCTCGGCAAAAGAGGCAAACCGTCACTACGAACGATCCAGAAGCCCAGCAGCCCATCCCCGGTATCAACGGTAGAAGAGCATTCGGTCAGCAATATCATGCCTGCAGGAACTGCTTCGGAGAAGATCGCAGCAGAGTCAAAGTACGAAAGACATTCTGTCTCTACGGTCTCGACCGAATCGTCTGAAATCGATCCGGAAAAACCACCGATCGTGGTGGACATTAACGGCCGGCATCCTGCACTCAAGCACACGGACAATGACATGGGGTTTCCTCCGAAGGAGCTGGAAATCCTCCCCAAGGCTGCACCGACCATGAGCGACAAGAGGCCGGGAGGCCGCAGACCACCTCGTCTAGATATCGGGGCTGTTCGAGCGGCAGAAGCCCGAGGCAGTCTCACAAGCTTGCCTGACCTGATCCGACGCGCCACGAAGCTCGCTTCAAATCTTGAGCACGGAAGGACGGCGAGTAGGAATGATCTGCTCAATAACGGAACCAGTAGATTCGCGCAAGGTGAGTTGCACATTCAGTGGGCGCATGAGACCGACCGAAAACTTCGAACAAAACTGACTTCTCGCTCAGGTCACAACGCTCGCAAATCAGGATCTATCAAGGACATCCTGGCGTCCTTTCCGCCTCCAGCAGGAACGCCCGAGGTGCGCTCCTCGTGGCCAGATTTCTTCCGGAGAACTCCCATGCACCATTTACGATCGAATGACACTGGCCCTGAAACTGGCGAGGAGAAAGGCCAGCAGCGCTCGCGCCGTTGCTGTGGCATGCCGCCGTGGTTATTCATATTCGTCTGTTTTTTGATCATCGCCATAATCCTCGTCGCTGTTCTGGTACCCGTCTTCCTGGTCGCAGTTCCCCGCCACAAGTCCAGCAGCAGCTCTGGGTCACAATGCGAAAAGACTACGCCATGCGAAAATGGCGGTGTTAGTGTCTCGAGCGGGAGTATCTGCTCGTGCGTCTGCGCCAACGGCTATACAGGTTCGCGCTGCACGGTGGGCGGCGATGCGAGCTGTGTGACCACTGAGATCGTTCAGGGCTCGACATCCAAGAATGCGACCATGGGCAGCGATCTTCCGCGCTTATTCGAAGAGTCAAGCAGTAATTTCAGCATTCCGTTGGATCCGATCAGCATCATGGCTCTATTCAGCCAAAACAATGTCTCCTGCACGACCGAGAATTCGCTCGTCTCTTTCAAAAGCCTCTCCTCGACCTCCAACAAAGCCCGTCGCGCTTCTCTGATGGAATCAGTCGGCGACTGGTTGATATCCGAAAAGATCGCTCCCGCTGTCGAGGAATCGGCGCCAAGTTCCACAACAGGGGAAATCCCGACGCAGACCCTAGCTGCCCGAGGCTCGGTGGGCACCAAAAACGGCATCCTCTTCGATGAATCGTACACCAGCACCGCAGCAGCAACCACGGCAACCCCGTCATCGGGTACGGCCACCGAGCAAACCACCCAGGGAACGCCCCCGCCCAAACCCACGTCCACGCCGACCCCTGCCGCCATTCCGGCAAAGGTGCTCGACTTCTCGCGCATTGCCGTCCTGTACATATTCGAGAAGACCGCCGCGTTCAACGCAGCGATGCAAACCGAAGGTAATATCGAGACGTACCTGGCCGCCTCGTATTCGACCTCGCAGACGGGCACCTTTGACGTCGACCTCTCCGCTTCGGGCATCAAGGGGAACTTTACTCTCAACTTTGACGAGTTCACCATTACCATGCCGAATGGGACTGTCGTTGGTGGTAAATGACATGATTTCTTGATTTGAATGGGATGACCTGTTCTGTTCTTCTGCTATTGTCCGTGTTGATCGATTGAAAGAAAAGCAGCGTCCTGTTTAGCGGAGATAGGTGCTCTTCAAGCCGGTTGTTTTTCTTGGTGTATATAATGCTGGATACTCCCCTTGTCTGTTCTGTTCTTGGCCTTGAGTGTGTCATCGGCATCCTGTTGTTTATAGCTAAGATATGGTGTTTGAGATTCGCAGAGATCGATATTATTGCAAAGAGCTCTAGCTCGGAGTTTGCGCGGTTTGTGCAGTACCAGAGTTGTGGTTACAATCTAGTCAAAATATCATCCGTATGTGATTCGAGATCTTAATCAAATAGTGTACAGAGAAAAAGATATACACGCAACGCGACCCTTTTGATGCAAACGATACTCCCGCCTAGACTCCATGTGAATCAGGTCCCTCCAAAGGATAATCCTCAAAACCAACTGAACAGGAAAGGTCAAGTCAGAGCAGCACATCAAACAAACAGAGAACTATTGGGCGCGATCCCCTCCAGACCCGACTCCCCGTCGATAATCGGCCAGAGTTTCCGAATCCTATCGTCGAGAATCAATCTCTCGGCCTCCCATCGCTTCCGCTCGAGGGCCTTGGCTTCAAGCTGCTTCTGGCCTCCGAACCAGGCATGCTTGGCTTTTTCGACGCTCTCGCGCTCCTCTCTTTCTGCCTGGGCGACGAGCCTCGAGACCATTGTCTTCCAGTTCTCCAGACCGACGCGGAGACACTCGGCGCAGCGGTGACGGGGGTTGCGGTCTTCCAGACCGCCGAGTTCGAGGACGGTGGATTCGGCCAAGTCGACTGCGTCACGGGTCCAGGCGAGTCCGGTTTCCTTGGAGGAGGAGGCGTAGATGATCTCGCCGATGTATGTCATGAGGCCGGCCTCTTCGCAGGCGGAGGTGGGAGTGCGGAGGGGG